TGTAAGGATAGGTCCGAGGTGCCCACCTCGGACGTACTAAATAATTCTTCAACAATCGAAGTGAAAAGTAAACCCAGCTGCATAAAAGTTACCGTGAACAGGCACGCACCTGATTTCTTATGACAGGCTGTACAATAGTTATGGTGCGTACGCCCACACCTGAATATGTCTCAAATTCCCGGTCCCGAGTATCTCGCTTGGCAAGCCAACACGGGTTCTCCATTGGAACATATAAATACCCCTCAAGGACCACCTCAGAAAGGTAATTGAAACCAACCTTAAGCTTTTCTTATCTCCGCTTTAAAGGTAGCCCCGATTATTGCTTATTTAAGCATCGGAGTGTCTACCCCGAGTTCAACCTCGGGGCTTTGCAGGTCATCTCGGAGTGCAAGCGCGGACTGAAGAAGAACTTCTGGTTTGGTGCAATTACAGAATCGTAAGACATTGGGGCCTGTCCATGTCTTATCTTAAACCCATCAATGGTGAATTCATATCAGAAACCAAATGAAAAACAAAAGCTAGTCTTCTGCTTCCAACACATTTGTTTATTGCAAACAGAAGCTATGCCTGGGATAACAAAATGATTCAGATAGATAGAACACATATAGCAAAGCTTGTTTCCTCAACAATGTTGCGCAACAGAAATTTGAGCAGTGAAAAAGTCTTCCAAACTGCAGGCGGAGGGTATAGCAACTTTCCAAAATCTATGGAAACTAACTTATTTTCCCATTAAAAAGAGCCTTCAGCTTCTAATCATAAAGGATCTCTCTCTTGTATATTCTTCAGTCTTGTGCTCTGGATTCTGCAAAGAAGGAATCAATGTGATTTAGCAAATAATGATGTGTGTGCAATATTTCTTTTTGGTTATACCAGTACTTCAGCTATCATATAGTCTCCTGAGCAAAATTTAAACAAAATCAAACTAAAAAATCAACGTTTCCTTTTACTTAATTTCATTCAGCCTTATATTGTTGACAGAAGTTTATAAATACCAAATTTACCATAAGAGTCCTGATTAGGAAAAATGGAACATCTTTTATACAATCAGAAAAAATAGAAGGGCACAGTTCAAAAACATGATAAACAGATTAAGCTTTCTAACATTAAGCTTCTTGAAATTCTTCAAAATGTATATTAGAAAAAAAATAATTTAGGAATTCCCAATATCCAGAGGAAATTCGGTTAACAAATCTGTTGTCCCGAACAAAATTATCAAAAAAATCAAACAGTAAAATCAGTATTAGCTTTTTATATAACTCAGCCTTGCACAAAGAAACTTGCTAATAGAAATGCAGCATGAGTCCTCCTTCCAACTTGAAACTCTCGCAGCAGGGCATGCTCGAGCGTGAGAGAATCAGATTACAAGCTCATTATTATCTTTACCTATTCTATATATTTTAACTTTAATTAAAAAAATATATTTTCTTCAAAATGAAAGATAGAAACATACATCATCCGTGCAGCTATACATATTCCTCCTTTTATATAACTTCAATAGTTTATAAATTTGAAGGGATGTCTACCTACTACAAAGCACAAAAGTCTTGATTGAGAGAGAGTTTGACTTGGAAATCTGTGTCCTGCTGTTGCTCGACCACCTTAAAAAAAAATAACAACATTAATTAGTAAAAGGCAAGTTCGACGAACATGGTAATAAGCTAATAAATTCCTAAATTAATTCTGAGAAGGGGGTTGTTGTACCCAATTTCAATCTATGTCGACACGGGGGATGTGGGCTATGAGGCGCCGATCGTCTTGCTTCTCCTTTAACCGTTGTGCTAGCCGTGGACAGTTGTGGATCAAGAGATGCCCAAGCGAGGAAGGCAGACCTTGCTTCGGTAAGAACTGGAGCTCCGGACAGTCATTAATGAGTAGTTCTTGAAGAGAGTTGAGGTTTTGGAGGAGCCCTCTAGATAGCGATTTCAGATTTTTTAGATCAAATATCCCAAAAACGATTAGAGAAGTAGGAAGCAAATCCCCTAGAGGGCATATCCAACCTATGTTGAAGCTATTAAGAGAGGTAAGCCTGTGGAGCCCCCATTCTTTGATTGGCTGTTTCAAATTCTCACAACCAATGTCAAGGTATGTTAGGCTTGTGGGCAAACCACCTTCTGGAATGGACTCGATCCTTTGGCACGACACTATACTTAATGATTGGAGAGATGTAAGGTTGTGCATTCTATTGGGCAGGGACCTGAGATTCTTACAATCATAAATACCCAGATATTTAAGATTAGGCATGCCCAGACCACTTTCTGGAAACGACTCCAAACCTTCAACTTGATCTATTTCTAAATAAGTGAGAGTGCTGAGGCTAGACATGTGATCCAAAGGAAGCAAGCCGCTTGGAAATAAATTCCGAGTTGCAATATCCTCTAGAGATAATTGTTCAAGCTGCAGCATGTTATCTCCATTACTATCATCCATCAAACCCTCCGGTAGAGATTCTAGATTTTCACACCTCTCAATAATCAAATTTTTAAGTGTGGCAGGCAATTGACCACTTAGAAACAATTTGAAATTAGGACAACTCCAAATAGATAATTGTACGAGACTTTTGAGTTCCGCTGTCACTGACGTAAGCAGAGGACACGAACGGATTGACAACTGCCTAAGATGTGCAAGGTTTGCAATATTTGCTCCTTCCTCCCACAAACAAGTAAGTTCCTCACAACTATCGATACACATAACTTCAAGTGCAATCATTGACTCTAAAAACTTTTTAGGCAAAAATGCCAGACTCGAAATTTTGAAAATTTTCAAGTCGGTGAGGGAACTGAGATCAACCATAATCCTCAAAACTACCTCACTACATTCTTCTATAGCTAAATTTTGAAGTGAGGAAAGGCTCACCGGTGAGTACGTTAACTGTGGGCATCTTACAATCAAAAGCTCTTTAAGAGATGGAAGTTCTTGTGGTAATTTTCCCAACAAGCAACAGTCCCCCAACACCAGCTTCTCTAATGATAGAAAACAATTACCGGAGGAAATTTTGTCACTATCCCCAGTCAGAGTTGCAGCCTTGCTTCCTTTAATGATCAATTCTTTGAGCTGGGGTAATTGCCCAAGTGATGGTAATGACGTACAATTTTGACAATCACGAAGCTCTAAGAGCTTTAACTGGGAAATGGATGGATCACCTATCCAGGATGGGAATTCTTCCCCACAGTAGCAATTGATCGTCAACCTTTCCAATCTTTGACCAGGTTTTAAGCATTCAAGGACTTGGAAGTCTTTCACTTTACTCTGGGAATCAGAACAAACAGAAGCCCACTCTAAGGATAAATCATCCAATTTCATGTTGTGCAGCTTGACATCCTTGGCATCTTCGATATCTAAAAGATTATGTAGATTCGAAATGGAAAGTTGACCTTGAAGGCCTGTCAGGTTCTTCAATTCTTTCAATCTTAATCCAGAATCAGCTTTCCCCAGAATAAATTTGGTCAGTAACACAAGACTTCTCAATTTAGCTACCCCCAATGGAATCTCTGTCAGAGATGGTGTATTAGTAAGGTCAAGATAATGGAGGTCAATTAGATTCCCAATTGTTGCAGGTAACCTAGTAAGCTGTTCACAGTCATGTAATATCAATGTCTGTAAGAAAAGCAAGGAACCCACTGACTCGGGCAAACTTTGAATTGATGAATGAGACAGATTAATGTATCGTAGATGCTTCAAATCTCCAATTGAACTTGGTAGTTTCTGTACTCCACAAAGAGATAACACCCTTAGGCACTTCAATTTTGGTAATATACCAACTGCAACTCCATTCGATAAGGAGGGATACGAGAAATGTCTATTGTTCCATTTCAATCGTAAGAGTGTTCGCAAATTCTTCTGTTCATTCAAGACTTCAAATCTTTTCAATACATCATATTCACGAGGAGCAAATGACAAATGGCGAGCCTTATTATCACCCAAAGTCAGTCGATCAAGACTGCAGCATATTTCTCCAGCAACTTCTTGAGCTAAATCACTTATGAAATCATGCATCATAAACTGTGATCGATCTCTGATTGATGGTTGAAAAATTGATCTTGATAATAAAATATCAAAACATTGATGGCCACAATCATGCATTTGCTTCATTTCTTGTGACAGTTGTTGCAAAAACCCTTGTGCCATCCATAACAAAACTAACTCATTTTTGTCAAATTCATAGTCCTTAGGAAATACAGCACAAAAGCCGAAGCATCTCTTCAAGTGAGGAGGAAGACGGTTGTAGCTCAATTTCAGAACTGCATAAATGCCACTTTGGCCTTCGGGTAGATTGCACAACTCACGGTTTAACAGATCTTCCCACTCCTGACGATTAGGTTTACCACGCAAGAGACCACCGAGGACTTTCACAGCTAGAGGCAATCCTCGACACCTTTCTACAATTTCCCTGCCAACTCCTTCTAGTTCTCGGTGAGAATCAAAATTCTCCTTGTCTAATGCATGTCTAGCAAATAATGACAAGCATTCATCCTCTGGAAGAAAATCTAAATTGTAAACTTTATCATCTGCTCTCATGGTTTTTGCAACAAAGATGTTTCGAGTTGTTGCGATGATTTTACTTCCAGGTGCTCCATCTGAGAAAGGTCTTTGTAGTACATCCCACGAATGATAGTCCTCATTCCAAATGTCATCCAGTACAAGTAAGAACTTCTTACCAGAGAGTTCTTTCTTCAGATGCTCTTGTAGTGAAAAAAGATCTTGTACATCAGACTTTTTCCTAGTTACTTGCTGTAGAACGACCCTTGTAATTTCGTCAACATCAGACTTTTTCCTAGTTACTTGCTGTAGAATGACCCTTGTAATTTGGGCAACATCAAATACATCAGAAACACAAACCCAAGCCTTCAATTCAAACCCATAGTCCTTCAATTTTCCATCGTCATAATAAACGAGGCCTGCAAGAGTGGTCTTGCCTAGACCCCCCATTCCGACAATAGGAATAACAGAGTATCCTTCATGATTGCCTTCGTCATCAAACATCTGAAAGATTTTCTCCTTGTCACTTTCCCGACCACAAACTTTACGAGGTTCGGGCATGGCAGAATCCAGTGATCTCTCTGCAACAGCTTTACTAGAACTTGCTTCAACATTCACAGCCAAATTAATCAAGTCCAAAGTACTTATCTCGCCTCCAAAATGTTGCAGTCTAGTAGTTATGCTCTTTATCTGGGAAGCAATCTCTCGATCTTTAACCCACCTCGGTGTAAGCTTTTGTGTGATGCTGGTGCTGGCTTTAGGACTTGCAATCAGTTTGCGCTTGGCATCGAGCTCCAGTTCGTCAAGGATATCTTCCATGTCAAGAGCCAATTCCCTGAGACCACCAAGAAATAACTTCACCAACTTGTTTGTTGCTTGCTTCTGTTCTGCATCTTCAAGTATAACCTGGATTTTGGGTAAAAGAGTTCTCCACTTTGCCACCTCTTTACGTACATACTTATGTGAATTCAATAATTCACTGAGGCCACTAGAATCCAATTTCGAAAGGAGCCAGCTAAATGTAGAAGACAAGATAGCACCTCCAAGATTAGTTGCGACATCCATTGGATCAAAACGACAAGCGCTCTGCAAGAAAGAAAAAACTAATGGCTTGAAATAGTTCTGTATGTAAGAAAGAAAGGAAACTTTAAACAGCTCAGTAATTCAACCATTCAACTTTCTGTATCTTTTATATATTTAATTCATTCATTCATTTTTTTATATATTTTATAAATGGAATTAGTACTTATTTCTCTTCTTAAAAATTTATTTTAAAATAACTTTATTTTAATAAAATATGAAGAAAAAAATCAAATAATATTGTAACTATACTGTGTTATTATTCTTTTAATTATTAATAAAGAGAGAGAAAAGTGATTTATTACCACACCTTCAA